ACTAGTGAGGGGACTGTACCTAGGCTATATGACCAGCCCCTGTAAACACACTAGTGAAGGGGACTGTACCTAGGCTATATGACCAGCCCCTGTAAACACACTAGTGAAGGGGACTGTACCTAGGCTATATGACCAGCCCCTGTAAACACACTAGTGAAGGGGACTGTACCTAGGCTATATGACCAGCCCCTGTAAACACACTAGTGAAGGGGACTGTACCTAGGCTATATGACCAGCCCCTGTAAACACACTAGTGAAGGGGACTGTACCTAGGCTATATGACCAGCCCCTGTAAACACACTAGTGAAGGGGACTGTACCTAGGAAGGCCCCTGTAAACGCACTAGTGAAGGGGTACCTAGGCTATATGAGCCCCTGTAAACGCACCTGTACCTAGGCTATATGAAGCCCCTGTAAACACACTAGTGAAGGGGACTGTACCTAGGCTATATGACGAGCCCCTGTAAACACACTAGTGAAGGGGACTGTACCTAGGCTATATGACGAGCCCCTGTAAACACACTAGTGAAGGGGACTGTACCTAGGCTATATGATGAGCCCCTGTAAACACACTAGTGAACTGTACCTAGGCTATATGACCAGCCCCTGTAAACACACTAGTGAAGGGGACTGCTATATATGACCAGCCCCTGTAAACACACTAGTGAAGGGGACTGTACCTAGGCTATATGACCAGCCCCTGTAAACACACTAGTGAAGGGGACTGTACCTAGGCTATATGACCAGCCCCTGTAAACACACCAGTGAAGGGGACTGTACCTAGGCTATATGACCAGCCCCTGTAAACACACCAGTGAAGGGGACTGTACCTAGGCTATATAACCAGTCATTGGGGTCGACGCTGCTTCAGTTTGGGGCAAGAAGGAACTGCTGACTCCTGACTGTAAAATCTCAAAAATACAGTAATTACAGACACGCATCACCACTGTATCGAACACACCACTGAAACAAAAATAACCACATTTTAAATATATAACACAAATACAGCACAAATACATAACACAAATACAGCAAAATAAAAAAATACAGTGAAGGTAAATTTGATATACAGTATTTTATTAATTTGAACATTATACAAGGTAGTGGAAGAGAGTCAATGGTGATGATGGATTATGGAACAAATTAAACATTGAGAAATAAAGTTTTTTTTTAACTTTAATGGCTTATTAATCTAATCTAACCAAACCTAACCTAACCTAACCTAACCAAATCTGACCTAACCAAATCTAACTCAACCAAATCTGACCTAACCAAATCTGACCTAACCGCATCTGATCTGACCTAACCTAACCAAATCTGACCTAACCTAACCAACCCAACTTATTTCACCTGAAGATTAGTCACACCCCCAAGTACTCACCTGAAGATGACCAACCAAAAATTATATATAGAGCCTGGGGGGGGGGGCTATTCTTCAGGTGAGTCATTACATTATCACATATATACATCAATATTTTAAATATTCTTATAAATAATATAAAATGTATATATATATATATAAATCTAGACAAGAGAAATATACATTCATCTACACTATATAAACTCTATAGTCTATTTTTCACAAGTAAAAGTTTCAGCTAAAGGTTTAAAAAAAAAAATTTGTGGCTAAAATTTCAGTTCGAAAGTTTTCACCAAAAGTTTCTACAAAAAAGTTCTTATTTAAAGTTTCAATCAGAAGTTTTGACCCAAAGTTACGAACAAATTATTTTTTTCTGAAGTTATACAATATTAATTATGCAGGATTATGCAAAGTTCATCATTTGTTATATATAGTGAATTACACAACAGAATGCATAATTTCTCACAGTTCAGCACAACTTCTTGCAAGTGTGGGAAAAATGCACTCAAAATTTCTAAGTTTTTCGAGTGTGTGTTTTGAGTGTGTGTTTTGAGTGTGTGTTTTGAGTGTGTGTTTTGAGAGTGTGTTTTGAGTGTTCCAAGTGTTTGTTTTGAGTGTGTGTTTATTTTGAGTGTGTGTTTATTTTGAGTGTGTGTTTATTTTGAGTGTGTGTTTTGAGTGTTTCGACTCTGATAAAATCCTCAATGTTTACTCTATACAGTAAGTCCGCTATATTATGCGATATATTATACTGTTTCACAAATAATCAAACCAGGAAATCTCCAATGGCTGGAATTGAAATTTTCCCGGATAGTCGTTCCCAGAGCCGGAATTACCCGTAAAATTCCGGCTCTGGCAACGACTTTCCGAGAAGTTCCGAGAAATTTTTCCTGATGTCCTGAAAATTCTGGTGATTGGGGGGGATGGGGGGGAGGATATTTCTCCGGGTTCGTGAGTCGTCTTATTACGGCACCGGCAAATCTGTCGTTCCGGTAAGTGTTCTATGACAACTGTTCGGGCTAGCGGGGATATAATGCAGCTCGGTGATATACAATACTGCAGTGTTTTATAATATGACGGTACTTCATCCCTACACTGCGACGACAGTGACGAAAATATCAATAAATTCCGTTTCTCGTGTTTGAATATTTCCTCGAGTGTTACTGAACCCCAGGCTAGTTTCTCTTCTATTTGATTCCTTGTTTACTGGATGTGTTATGATTAATCGTTACTATTGCTAGTTATATCATTAATTTGGGGGGGTTTATGCCAATTTTAGCCGTGATATAGTTCGTTATAAGCAGGTTCCACAGCTAATAGACCCTCGTTTTAATGGACTAACTTCTCAATATAGTTCGTTATAAGGAGGTTCCACAGCTAATGAACCCTGTTTTAATGAACTAACTTCTCAATATAGTTCTTTATAAGGAGGTTCCACAGCTAATAGACCCTCGTTTTAATGGACTAACTTCTCAATATAGTTCGTTATAAGGAGGTTCCACAGCTAATAGACCCTCGTTTTAATGAACTAACTTCTCTATATAGTTCGTTATAAGGAGGTTCCACAGCTAATAGACCCTCGTTTTAATGGACTAACTTCTCAATATAGTTCGTTATAAGGAGGTTCCACAGCTAATAGACCCTCGTTTTAATGGACTAACTTCTCAATATAGTTCGTTATAAGGAGGTTCCACAGCTAATGAACCCTGTTTTAATGAACTAACTTCTCTACATAGTTCTTTATAAGGAGGTTCCACAGCTAACGGAACCTCATTTTAACGGACTAATTCGGACTTTAATCTAAATTTGTCTAAAACCCATTGTTACAACTTCGTTCCTGGGTGGATAGTTTGAGTACCTTTGTTAAATCACCTTACTGAACCACACCCTGACCTGACCTGACCTAACCTAACCTGACTAACAGATTCATACAAAATTACCGATGATTAGATTTCCACTGAGATTCACAAGAGGATATGACAGTCTTGAGAAAATGTCTATTAATGAATATAGAATAACAATTAATATCCATAATGATAATAATATGACATAATTACTGTATACGGCTCCTCCCCGACTTACGACGGGGTTAGGGACCCATATCCAGGTCGTAAGTCGAAAATGCTTAAATAATACATAGAAAATCTAAAATGGGTGTCTCTTTTTCTTCTCAGCACCACAAAACTCTCACTTTTAAACTTGTCAGATATTTTAAAGTGAATTACAAACGAAAATTTTCTCTTTGTGCGGACGTCGGGACTTGAAAATACGTAATTTGACAAAATTTTAGTATGACTGAGGTAGGTCGTAAGTCGGGCAGGTTGTAAGTCGGGCAGGTCGTAGGTCGACGGGTAAATGACTCAGACGGGTATAAGTCGGGCAGGTAGTAGAGTCGGAGCAGGTATTAAGTCGGGCAGGTAAATGAGTCAGCGAATTAGTAGGTCGGGCAGGTCATGGGTCAGGCAGGTCATCCAGGTGGGCAGGTAGTGAGTCGGGAGCCGAGGTGGTAGGTCGAACGTTAGGTCGGGCAGGTGTTAAGGTCGGGCGAATTAAGTAGGTCAGGCAGGTCGTAGGTCGGGCGGAGTGGTAAGATGGAGCAGGTCGTGGAATCGGGCAGGTCATAGGTCGGGCAGGTCGTGGAGTCGGGCAGGTCGTGGGTCGGGCAGGTCGTGGGTCGGGCAGGTGGTAGGTCAGACGGAGTCGCCAAGTCGAGACCAGGTCGTAGGTCGGAGCGGAGTCGTGAGTCGGGCAGGTCGTAGGTCCGGGCCGTAGGTCGGGCCAGGTCGTAGGTCGGGCAGGTCGTGGAGTCGGGCAGGTAGTAGGTCGGGCGAATTAAATGGGTGAGCAGGTCATGGGTAGGGCAGGTGGTAGGTAAGACTGGAGTCGTGGGAGCGGGTGTGAATTAGGGCAGAATTAGGTAGGTGGGGCAGATTAGTAGGTCGGGCAGGTCGTGGAGTCGGGCTGTAGGTCGGGCAGGTCGTAGGTCGGGCAGGTCGTAGGTCGGGCAGGTCGTAGGTCGGGGAGGAGCTGTATATATCAATTACACAGACAGACACAACAACATATATTAACCATAAAATAATAATGTTAATAATTATGATCAAAAACTATAATTATTGTTTATATAATTACTGAAGACACGATTATATAGGGGAGGATATTTTAATGAGATTATACTTGACTCATTTAATTATACCTTGTAATAAGGGTAATTAAATATACATTAAATTAGTGAAGGGGTGTTGGGTAGCATAGTAGTGAAGATAGTTTAGTTAGTAGTAAAATATGGGCAAGATCGATCTCTTCTCTCTCTCTCTCTCTCTCTCTCTCTCTCTCTCTCTCTCTCTCTCTCTCCACAAAAACATATAAATTATAACAAACATTTAATTATCAAGTCAAATATATGCACAAGTCTACTACAGTATAATGCCCATTAGACTGAACTACCCATTAGCCTGAACTACCCAATTAGTCTGAACTCCCCCTTAGCCAAAAAAATTTCTCCCATATTCCGGGTTTTGGCGAACAATTTACCGAGGCCGGAAAATCAGGAGCATTTTCCATAAATTCCGTGAAATAATCCAGGACTTTTTTCGGGGTGGGTGGGGGGTGTGGGGGATGGGGGGGTGGGGGGTGGGGGTGGGGGATGGGGGGGGATATTTTGTCTCATTGCCTGGAAGTTTCTCATTCCCGAACGTCTTCTGCTGTGGTAAATATAATAATAATAATAATAATAAATACATTTCTTTTAAAGCTTTCTACCGATATATATTATATTTATCAATATCAATATGTTTGGTAAGTGCTTTCTCCCATGTTAGTGATTACCTGAAGATTAGACACCCCAGCTTATTTCACCTGTAGATTAGAAGGGTTAGGTTAGGAATACTGTAATTAATCATCAGGTGAAAAATAAACTAGGGTGTCTAATGTTCACATGACCTACCAAAAAAAAACCTATGTTAAAATGGCCGAAGTAGCGAAACACTTAACCCAACGTCGTACCCCAAGCTAGAGGACGAGACGCGGGGCATTTTCACGTCACAAATCCCTTCCCTCTGCGTCACTTATACAGATGCAACTGGGAATCGGCGATCAGCCCGGCCGCTCTCGCCTCCTCGATCGCTTGATAATACTGATCGAAGTCGACGTAGGGTTGGATGCGTCCGTCCTCGTCCAGGGAGAACTGCGTCAGGCTGGGGTTCTGGAGATCTGACGACTCGGTGGAGGTGGTGTTGGTGTCGTGGCGGTCGTCGACGGTGTTACTCACGCCCTCCGTCAGGTCGAGTCTGTGGCCGCGGGCACCGGGAAGCAAGCGAGAGTCTGGCAGCCCCGAGAGGATGTCAGTGTCCTCTTGTAGGGTCAAGTCGTCGCTGCCGGACGATGACGACGAGTACTCCTGAAAGATGACGTCGTGTTCTACTGTAAGACATGACTGGTTATCTGAGATTAGATTAAATTAACCTCAGATTAGATTAAATTAACCTCAGATTAGATTAAATTAACCTCAGATTAGATTAAATTAACCTCAGATTAGATTAAATTAACCACAGATTAGATAAATTAACCTCAGATTATATGATATTAACCTCAGATTAGATTAAATTAACCTCAGATTAGATTAAATTAACCTCAGATTAGATTAAATTAACCTCAGATTAGATTATATTAACCTCAGATTAGATTAAATTAACCTCAGATTAGATTAAATTAACCACAGATTAGATTAAATTAACCTCAGATTAGATTAAATTAACCTCAGATTAGATTAAATTAAACTCAGATTAGATTAAATTAACCTCAGATTAGATTAAATTAACCTCAGATTAGATTAAATTAACCTCAGATTAGATTAAATTAACCTGATTAGATTAAATTAACCTCAGATTAGATTAGATTAAATTAACCTCAGATTAGATTAAATTAACCTCAGATTAGATTAAATTAACCTGATTAGATTAAATTAACCTCAGATTAGATTAAATTAACCTGATTAGATTAAATTAACCTCAGATTAGATTAAATTAACCTCAGATTAGACCTTAGATTAAATTAACCTCAGATTAGATTAAATTAACCTGATTAGATTAAATTAACCTCAGATTAGATTAAATAACCTCAGATTAGATTAATTAACCTCAGATTAGATAAAATTAACCTCAGATTAGATTAAATTAACCTCAGATTAGATTAAATTAACCTCAGATTAGATTAAATTAACCTCAGATTAGATTAAATTAACCTCAGATTAGATTAAATTAACCTCAGATTAGATTAAATTAACCTCAGATTAGATTAAATTAACCTTATTAGATTAAATTAACCTCAGATTAGATTAAATTAACCTCAGATTAGATTAAATTAACCTCAGATTAGATAAAATTAACCTCAGATTAGATTAAATTAACCTCAGATTGATTAACCTAGATTAAATTAACCTCAGATTAGAAATTAACCTCAGATTAGATTAATTAACCTCAGATTAGAAATTAACCTCAGATTAGATTAAATTAACCTCAGATTAGATAAAATTAACCTCAGATTAGATTAAATTAACCTCAGATTAGATTAAATTAACCTCAGATTAGATTAAATTAACCTCAGATTAGATTAAATTAACCTCAGATTAGATTAAATTAACCTCAGATTAGATTATATTAACCTCAGATTAGATTATATTAACCTCAGATTAGATTAAATTAACCTCAGATTAAATTAAATTAACCTCAGATTAGATTAAATTAACCTCAGATTAGATTAAATTAACCTCAGATTAGATTAAATTAACCTCAGATTAGATTAAATTAACCTCAGATTAGATTAAATTAACCACAGATTAGATTAAATTAACCTCAGATTATATATACTAGTGGCACCAAACTCCTTAGACACTAAATAAATTAATAAATAAATAAATTCCTAAGCTTCTCTTTCACATATTATTAAAAAACCTAACCTAACCCTTTGGTGATTTAACCCTTTGGTGAGTTAACCCTTTGGTGATGTAACCCTTTGGTGATTTAACCCTTTGGTGATTTAACCCTTTGGTGATTTAACCCTTCACGACTCAAAGGGTTACAAGACCACGCAAGACACACACTTAGCCTCACCAGTTGCCTGGGTCTCGGGTGATGTCTGATTGGTGGACGTGGGGAGGTGGCTAGGGCCGAGGAAAGTGTCAAGCCACATCGCAGAGGGAAGCTAAAGTTACGTATGATGAGGCTGATGTCATCTCTAGAGGTGACGTTCCTCTGCTTGGTGAGGTAGTTGTCGTGGTGGAGGCGTACGACCTTGTCAACGACCGTCTGGGCCACGCTGGTTAGTGTCGGCTGCTCTACAAACTGGAAGAACGATTCAGGTGTTTGTTTACGCCGTTTGTGTGTGTGTGTGTGTGTGTGTGTGTGTGTGTGTGTGTGTATCACTCCATCACTTATGACTGTGTATAAACATGTATGAATGTACTGTATATAAAGTGTATTGAATATAATTAACAACAATAACCCCCCCCACACCCCCCACACTCACCTGTTCGACAGCCATCTGAGCGATCTCCTTATTTACTTGTTCGGAGCCGGTAGAGTCTTGGTATGACTTGTACAGACCATCACTCATTAACAGGAGGAAACTGGAAGGAGGGAGGGAAGGTGTGAGGTATGAGTATCACATGAAGATTACACACCCCAGAGTCACCCCAGATCCCCAGAGTTATCCATAGACACCCATAATAGTAGTAGTAGTAGTAGTGGTAAATTACTATCATCATATCATCATCACCCCCCCCCCTCACACACACCTGCAAGAGTCGTCAATAGGCATGGAGGTAATATGGGGCTCAGCTATGACAGGTTCACCAGTGGCTGAGCTGAAGATGTCGAACTCTTTGTAGCCGCCCTTCATAAAGTAGTTCCCGATGCATCTCGTCAGTTCGTGGTTGCCGAATTTTGCTCCTGTGGAATTGGGTTAAAATGGGGGTGAAATGGGGTAATATTAGATCGAAATGGGTAAGAAATAGGGTAAAGTAGGACGTGTTTATATGGAACTAATGAAAATGGGTGGGAAATTAGTTAGAAATTGGTTATAAAGTAGTCAGCTAGAAATGGGTTAAAATAATGTAAAATATAAGTACAGTGTCCCCTCCATTAACGAACTCAATCCGTTCCAGAAGGTCGTTCGTTAACCGAAAAGTTCGTTAACCGAAACCATTGTTTCAATGGGTTTTTGGGTAATTGGTTCCAGCTCACCGAAAATTTCCTAAATTCAACAAAAATGGTAGAAAAGTTCACTTACTTTGAGGTGTGTATGTAGAAGGCTCCTGGATGATGATATTGATGATGGGATTTAGAATGGGGGTGGAGGAGAAGGAAGAAGAAGGCATTGGGGTGGAAGAGAGGTCACCCCATGGCACCATTTCACCCATAAAATTTTAGTTCTCTTGGGGTATTTCAAGATTATTTTCTTTTATATCAACACTGCACTGCATTATATATTGTCAATATGTAAAAATATATTTCAAAATGACCAATAATTTGCTTGGAAACACAGAAAAAAAGCGTTTAGTTGAAGAGAGTCTCAAGCAAGATGTTACCTCCAGTGAAAACAGAGAGAGACTAACGCCTGTTTGCTGTGTTAAGAGGCTGGATGCCGCGCATTAAACTAGTCACTTTACCTTCAATTATGTTCAATAATTGTTAAAATGACTAAAAAATTGAATATTAAACTTTTAAAATTATTGAATAGTATAAACTTCTTGATATTTACTAAAATAGTAAGGAATTTAAGCCCTAGAACCGATTAATGTATTGGCGGACTAATACTAAAGCTGGTTGCCCGGTCAGTGCAAGTGAAAACATGTTGAGGTCGGTTCGTAAGAAATTCGTTAACCGAATTTTTTTTCGTTAACCGAATTGAAGATCCTTATGGAAGGCAGTTCGTTAACCGAAATTACGTTAACCGAGGTTTTCGTTAAACGAGGGGTCACTGTAATAAAATTGGGTCAGAAATAGGGTGTGTTTAAGGGAAAGAAAGGTACAGAAAATATTAGAAATGGGATGAGATTAGTTAGAAATGGGCTCTGATATGTAGCATTTAACACCTTGTGTATGGGGTCACCTCTGTTGTTAACCAAATATTAAAAGTGTCGTCCCTGTAGTGAAGGTGTTAGTGGCGATAGTCTACTAACACCTTGTGTATGGGGTCACCTCTGTTGTTAACCAATTATTAAAAGTGTCGTCCCTGTAGTGAAGGTGTTAGTGGTGATAGTCTACTAACACCTTGTGTATGGGGTCACCTCTGTTGTTAACCAATATATTAAAAGTGTCGTCCCTGTAGTGAAGGTGTTAGTGGTGATAGTCTACTAACACCTTGTGTATGGGGTCACCTCTGTTGTTAACCATATATTAAAAGTGTCGTCCCTGTAGTGAAGGTGTTAGTGGTGATAGTCTACTAACACCTTGTGTATGGGGTCACCTCTGTTGTTAACCATATATTAAAAGTGTCGTCCCTGTAGTGAAGGTGTTAGTGGTGATAGTCTACTAACACCTTGTGTATGGGGTCACCTCTGTTGTTAACCAATTATTAAAAGTGGGTGGAGCGACACTGAGGGTCCACGCCGGGCCGCATCATATCTGCCATTTCACCGTGGTATGACTGTGACCGTTGTGACGTCAGCGAGCTGCGCCCGCAGGCTTTCATGGAGGTGAAACAGCACCCACCAATGAGCTTGGGAGAGGAGTTAGCCCCGGCCACGCTCCCTTACACAGTGCTGTTACTAAGCACTAGGCTGCATTTTAGAGTATAAATGTATATTTATTATTTAAGATGAATAAACGAACAAAAATCATCTGAGTATGCTTAGCATACTCAGATGATTCGCCACTGCTGTACTCACTATGGGGTCACCTGAGCTGAATAAAACCATCTAGCATCAGCCAATCAAAACTAGCGTCACCATAATGAAAGGTTTAAGCGGCCTCTTCCTCACCTTGGATCTTGGACGCTGGTAAACTCAAGGATGCTAAACGCTGCACCTCGTCGTGGCTGCTTGTTGTGTGGTCGGCCGTCAGCTGTTTGACCTTCAGTACCCCAGACCTGATGAGCATAGTTTGATCGTTAAGTAGTGTTCTTGATTGACGTGATGTATGGGAGTGGTGGTGTTTGTGGAGGGAGGTGTAGGGGTGGAGATGGTGATAGTGTTGGTGGTAGTGTTGGTGGTAGTGTTGGTGGTAGTGTTGGTGGTAGTGTTGGTGATAGTGTTGGTGATAGTGTTGGTGATAGTGTTGGTGTTACATTTGTTAAATTCTGTAAATAATATTATTATTTTTGGGGCAATGAAGCCATAATTAGGTTAGGTTAGGTTAATACTAGGGTGTCTAATGTTCAGGTGTAATAAACTAGGGTGTCTAATGTTCAGGTGTAATAAACTAGGGTGTCTAATGTTCAGGTGTAATAAACTAGGGTGTCTAATGTTCAGGTGTAATAAACTAGGGTGTCTAATGTTCAGGTGTAATAAACTAGGGTGTCTAATGTTCAGGTGTAATAAACTAGGGTGTCTAATGTTCAGGTGTAATAAACTAGGGTGTCTAATGTTCAGGTGTAATAAACTAGGGTGTCTAATGTTCAGGTGTAATAAACTAGGGTGTCTAATGTTCAGGTGTAATAAACTAGGGTGTCTAATGTTCAGGTGTAATAAACTAGGGTGTCTAATGTTCAGGTGTAATAAACTAGGGTGTCTAATGTTCAGGTGTAATAAACTAGGTTGTTTGTGTAGTCGTTACCTGTCTTTCTTGCAGAGTAGAGCACGTGAGTCGCCCACATTGCCGACGTATAACACGCCACCGTGTATAAGCGCCACGACAGCCGTTGTTCCTCCCCGAATCTCCTGATCGAGGACCTGTATGTACCCCAATGAGATTTTGAGCTATGGGGTCACGTCTAGAAGCAGATGTCGGGAAGATGTGGAAAATATTTATAGGAAAGGTATCGGAGGAAAGAGCACAGGGGTTATGGATACTCTGGTTACGGAAACTCGCTCTTAGAGATTTTGTAAATTACGACCAATAAATTCGGAATACAGACCAAAAAATTCGCCTTTACAGAAATCGGGTAAATTTTTAAGCCATTTTTTTTTATACTATTATAAAAAAAAATTAGAAATTATACACATTATTTCGTGTGGAATTCCCGGTGGCTGATGCAACACAGCAGAGGGTGAGACAGGGGCCAGTAGTCTCCCTCCCCCCCCATATCACCACCTCACTCACCCCCTACCCGAGGTACGTTAAATTCAAGTGTTTTTGTATATGATCCAGCGTATGTGTTCGTAAATATGTTTGTATATTGGGTCCTTTTTTTTGATATTTCCCTGGCAACGCGTCTTAAGTTATATATATAAATGGAAGTCAACGGGGAATTTGGTTTTGTTACGGATAAATTTCCAGGGACGTAATCCTTCCGTAACCGGGGGAGGGGGGGAGGGGGTGGCCTGGAATGGGGTAGATGAGAATAGAGTCAGTCATGGGAAAAAAGTAATGGAATAAATTCATGGGAATAAAGTCAGAGGAAAAAAACTAATGGAAAAGAAATAGAAAAGTCATGGGAATAAAGTCAGAGGAAAAAACTAATGGAAAAAAAGTCACGTATATAACTAAGAGACGATAAGGTCATTGTATAGCCAAAATACAGTAATATCCGGAAAAATATCCCCCACACCTGGAGCTTTCCAGAAAATTCCGGCTTTGGGAACGAGATACTACAGTATAACCTGACCAAAGAAACCTAACCTAACCCACCCCAACCCAACCCAACCTAACCTAACCTAACCCACCCCAACCTACCCCAAGCCAAACACACCTGCAATCTGTTGACAATATCGGGGAATTTCTGAGCGGCTTCGAACTGGGACATGCCGTCGGGAATCTTGTCCAGTATGTGGGTCCGTTCGGCTATCTTGGGGTCGATGGACTCAAGGAAGGCATTCTCCACGGCCAGGAAGGCGTCTCTAAACACCTCTTTCACTTCTTCGGACGACGTTTTCCCGGTGAGCTGCTCGAAACTCAGTTCGGCCGGCATTCTCTGTGGGGTAAGGCGGTCAGGTTAGGTTAGGTTTAGGTTAGGTTAGGTTTAGGTTAGGTTAGGTTTAGGTTAGGTTGGGTTTAGGTTAGGTTAGGTTAGGTTGGGTTTACGTTAGGTTAATCTTCATGTAATATTAAACCCAATATAAATGACACAATATTAGGTAATCTTAGATCTTATAAATTATTGGAACCTTTTGAATCATCACAAGTAGATATATATATGATCTTATAAAATTATCACAATCTTCATGATTTAATTATTACAACCTCCTAAAACAACTCGGTATATTAATTATCATAACTTGCAACCAAGCCTTCGTTGAAATCACCCATTTTATAGCGAAATCACAATAACAACCCCTATAGGTCAGGTAAATTAAATCACAGACCCGAGAAGCAAAGTACACAGCCCTATAGGTCAGGTAAATTAAATCACAGACCTGAGAAGCAAAGTACGCAGCCCCTATAGGTCAGGTAAATTAAATCACAGACCCGAGAAGCAAAGTACACAGCCCTATAGGTCAGGTAAATTAAATCACAGACCCGAGAAGCAAAGTACACAGCCCTATAGGTCAGGTAAATTAAATCACAGACCCGAGAAGCAAAGTACACAGCCCTATAGGTCAGGTAAATTAAATCACAGACCCGAGAAGCAAAGTACGCAGCCCTATAGGTCAGGTAAATTAAATCACAGACCCGAGAAGCAAAGTACGCAGCCCTATAGGTCAGGTAAATTAAATCACAGACCCGAGAAGCAAAGTACGCAGCCCTATAGGTCAGGTAAATTAAACCACGGACCCGAGAAGCAAAGTACGCAGCCCTATAGGTCAGGTAAATTAAACCACGGACCTGAGAAGCAAAGTACGCAGCCCTATAGGTCAGGTAAATTAAATCACAGACCCGAGAAGCAAAGTACGCAGCCCTATAGGTCAGGTAAATGAAACCACGGACCTGAGAAGCAAATTACGCAACCCCTATAGGTCAGGTAAACTAAAACACGGACCTGAGAAGCAAAGTACGCAGCCTTGGCTCCATCATGGCCGTCAAAGACCCCATAGAGGTAGGTCCCGTTCTCATGGTCAAGACAGAAGTGGATGCTGCGGTCCTCATACTCGTGCTCCGAACAGGGCGTCCCATCTTCACGGTACATCTGATTGGCCGACATCCCTACACCTGCGGAGGATTATGGGTTATCATTAGCCTCCTTTAAGCCCTCTAGTGGGAAATGTCAGAAGCTTTAGGGTTAGGTTAGGGTTAGGTTAGGTTAAGGTTAAGGTTAGGTTAGGTTAGGTTAGGTTAGGTTAGGTTTAGGTTAGGTTAGGTTAGGTTAGGTTAGGTTTAGGTTTAGGTTAGGTTAGGTTAGGTTTAGGTTTAGGTTAGGTTTAGGTTAGATTAGGTTAGGTTAGGTTTGGTTTAGGTTAGGTTAGGTTTAGGGTACAGTAGTGAACATAGTGGCTACACCTGATAGTTTACAGATGGGTAGACCGTCAGTCCAGGTGTCGTTGTTCCGTAGTCCCGTCATCCCTAACGATGTGGGTTTAATGGCCTGTGATGGCATTCTCATCTATAGGGTCCTGTAATGAGGTAGTTAGCTCGTTAGATACATCTCTCCTAAACAACCAAATAAACAATAAAATGACATCAATATCACCCTAATGACTCTATATTTAACGTATAAATCCAAATTAACCTCAAAAATACAGAGAAATTAGGTTAAAAATGTTAATTATATGTTAGTGTTTTTACCCCGACGACCAGACGAGCTCCTGACCAAAACAAAGATGGCGTTCGTGGATTCGTCTGGATTTATCTGGATTTTTCTGGATTTTATATTGATTGTTAACGTTCCTTTAGTATTTTTTAGTTAATTTAGATATACTTATTTTTATTTTTATATTATTTTGGTTTTAAATTTATTATAAGGATTTTTTTTTATATCGATTTATTATTTATTTATGGATTTATTCTGGATAATTAGCATTTTTATAGTTTTTTTGAGTTTTAGAGGAATTTATTTTTATTTTGTTTTTATCTTGATATTATCTTGGTTTAATATATTACTTCGTATTATAATTATTTCCAGAACCTAATTTATTAGATTTAGTCTTTAATTAAGGATTATTATGTATTTATTCAGTATTATTGATATTCCTTTAGGCTTTTAGTCATTATACTCTCAATAATTATATTAACTTAGTCCCAGTATAATTTCTTAAGGTATAACTATAATTTAGGCTTTAAAATTACATAATTACTAATTATATAAACTAATTTGTTTATTATTTCAAGCATTAATTAAGGTTTAGCTGGATGGTTCATACCTGTTGTCTCAGTAATTAGCAACAGTGGGAACCAGAAGCAGGTGTCCAGGTGTCTCTATGTAATTTACGAGGTTAGTTATAATTAACCTAAGATAATATTAACTTAACATAACTTTAACCTAACCTTATACAAATTTAACCTAACCTTATACAAATTTAACCTAACTTAACCTAACCACTTTCTTTTATAGGCACTTTAATGGTCAATATTAGGTGGATTTGCCCACAGACCCCAATATATAATCTCTTACTTTAAATACCTAATTTTATGTCATATTTGTAGTATAGATTAATATAATACCTTATTTTCTCTATATTTAATTGATTTTTATTATATTTCCACCCCTAGGCCCACCTCCCAGTAGTTATCTTATCTATAAATGAAACCAAAGATAGTTATTCAATTCACCACTAATTAACCTTACATACAGACGTCACCAATTGTTCAGTACTACTTTAGTATTGTTAAGATATATCTATATTTAACCCTGATATCGACCTTAAGTACCTTGTTTTGTTGTTTCTGAATCACTGATATAGATAACCTTAAAATTATATTGAGATTTTTATTCTCTACACAACTGATCAGCTCGTTAGCAGGTTGGACGATCGGCTACGGCTCTGTCACACACTGTTGGTAAGTACTGGGCATGTACTGGCTCTCTGTTACACACTGTTGGCAAGTACTGGGCATGTACTGGCTCTCTGTTACACACTGTTGGTAAGTACTGGGCATGTACTGGCTCTCTGTTACACACTGTTGGTAAGTACTGGGCATGTACTGGCTCTCTGTTACACACTGTTGGTAAGTACTGGGCATGTGTACTGGCTCTCTGTTACACACTGTTGACAAGTACTGGGCATGTACTGGCTCTCTGTTACACACTGTTGGCAAGTACTGGGCATGTACTGGCTCTCTGTTACACACTGTTGGTGAGTACTGGGCATGTATGCTGGCTCTCTGTTACACACTGTTGGTAAGTGCACTGGGCATGCTGGCTCTCTGTTACACACACTGTTGGCAAGTACTGGGCGTGTACTGGCTCTGTTACACACTGTTGGTAAGTACTGGGTGTGTACTGGCTCTCTGTTACACACTCTGTTGGCAAGTACTGGGCATGTACTGGCTCTCTGATACACACTGTTGTCAAGTACTGGGCATGTACTGGCTCTCTGTTACACACTGTTGTCAGAGTACTGGGCATGTACTTTGGCTCTCTGTTACACTGTTGGCAGAAGTACTGGGCATGTACTGGCTCTCTATTACACTGTTGTCAAGTACTGGGCATGTACTGGCTCTCTGTTACACACTGTTGGCAGAGTACTGGGTATGTACTGGCTCTCTGTTACACACTGTTGTAGAGTACTGGGCATGTACTGGCTCTGTTACACACTGTTGACAAATTACTGGTACTGGCTCTCTGTTACACACTGTTGGCAAGTACTGGGCATCATGCTGGCTCTCTGTTACCACACTGTTGGCAAGTACTGGGCATGCACAGGCTCTGTTACACACTGTTGGCAAGTGCTGGGCATGTGCAGCTCTTTGTCACACTGTTGTCAAGTACTTTAGACATGTACTGGCTCTCTGTTACACTGTTGGTAAGTACTGGGCATGTACTGGCTCTCTGTTACACTGTTGACAAGTACTGGGCATGTACTGGCTCTCTGTTACACCTTGTTGGTAAGTACTGGGCATGTACTGGCTCTCTGTTACCTGTTGGTAAGTACTGGGCATGTACTGGCTCTCATATTACACACTGTTGTCAGAAGTACTGGGCATGTACTGGCTCTCTGTTACCACTGTTGGTAAGTACTGGGCATGTACTGGCTCTCTGTTACACACTGTTGGTAGTACTGGGCATGTACTGGCTCTCTAAATATACACTGTTGGCAGAAGTACTGGGCATGTACTGGCTCTCTGTTACACTGTTGGTAAGTACTGGGCTGTACTGGCTCTGTTACACCTGTTGTCAAGTACTGGGCATGTACTGGCTCTCTGTTACACACTGTTGGCAGAAGTACTGGGCATGTACTGGCTCTCTATTACACACTGTTGGTAAGTACTGGGCATGTACTGGCTCTCTGTTACACACACTGTTGGCAAAGTACTGGGCATGTACTGAGCTCTCTGATATCACTGTTGGCAAAATTACTGGGCTGCTGGCTCTCTGTTACACACTGTTGTAAATATGGGCATGTACTGGCTCTCTGTTACACACTGTTGGCAAGTACTGGGTATGTACTGGCTCTGTTACTGTTGGCAAGTAATGGGCATGTACTGGCTCTCTGTTACACACTGTTGTCAAGTACTGGGCATGTACTGGCTCTCTGTTACACACTGTTGGTAGAAAGTACTGGGCATGTACTGGCTCTCTATTACACACACTGTTGACAAGTACTGGGCATGTACTGGCTCTCTGTTACACACTGTTGGTAAGTACTGGGCATGTACTGGCTCTCTGTTACACTGTTGTAAATTACTGGGCATGTACTGTCTCTATTTGTGGTAAGTACTGGGCATGTACTGGCTCTCTGTTACACACTGTTGAGTAGTACTGGGCATGTACTGGCTCTCTATTACACTGTTGGCAAGTACTGGGCATGTACTGGCTCTGTTACACTGTTGGCAAGTACTGGGCATGTACTGGCTCTCTATTTACACTGTTGGCAAGTACTGGGCATGTACTGGCTCTCTATTTACACACTGTTGGTAGTACTGGGCATGTACTGGCTCTCTGTTACCTACTGTTGGCAGTACTGGGCATGTACTGGCTCTCTGTTACACTGTTGGCAAGTACTGGGCATGTACTGGCTCTCTGTTACACTGTTGGCAAGTACTGGGCATGTACTGGCTCTCTATTACACACTGTTGTCAAGTACTGGGCATGTACTGGCTCTCTGTTACACACTGTTGGTAAGTACTGGGCATATGCTGAGCTCTCTATTTTTACACTGTTGACAAGTACTGGGCATGTACTGGCTCTCTATTACACACTGTTGGTAAGTACTGGGCATGTACTGGCTCTCTATTACACACTGTTGGCAAGTACTGGGCATGTACTGGCTCTCTGTTTTACTGTTGGTAAGTACTGGGCATGTACTGGCTCTCTGTTACACACACACTGTTGGTAAAGTACTGGGCATGTACTGGCTCTCTGTTACACACTGTTGGCAAGTACTGGGCCATACTGGCTCTCTATTTACTACACTGTTGGCAAGTACTGGGCATGTACTTTGGCTCTCTGTTACACACTGTTGGCAGAGTACTGGGCATGTACTGTCTCTATTTACTGTTGGTAGAGTACTGGGCATGTACTGGCTCTCTGGTACACTGTTGTCAAGTACTGGGCATGTACTGGCTCTCTGTTACACACTGTTGGTAAGTACTGGGCATGTACTGGCTCTCTGTTACACACTGTTGTCAAGTACTGGGCATGTACTGGCTCTCTGTTACACACTGTTGTCAAGTACTGGGCATGTACTGGCTCTCTGTTACACTGTTGGTAAGTGCTACTACTGGCTCTCTGTTACACTATTTAGTAAGTACTGGGCATGTACCGGCTCTGACCCACACACTGTTGTCAAAGTATGGGCATGTACTGGCTCTCTGTTACACTGTTGGTAAGTACTGGGCATGTACTGGCTCTCTGTTATTACACTGTTGGTAAGTACTGGGCATGTACCGGCTCTGTTACACACTGTTGGCAAGTACTGGGCATGTACTGGCTCTCTGTTACACACTGTTGTCAAGTACTGGGCATGTACTGGCTCTGTTACACACTGTTGGTAAGTACTGGGCATGTACTGGCTCTCTGTTCACACTGTTGGCAAGTACTGGGCATGCTGGCTCTCTGTTACACTGTTGGCAAGTACTGGGCATGTACTGGCTCTCTGTTACACACTGTTGTAAATTACTGGGCATGTACTGGCTCTCTGTTACACACTGTTGGCAAGTACTGGGCATGTACTGGCTCTCTGTTACACACTGTTGAAAGTACTGGGCATGTACTGGCTCTCTGTTACACACTGTTGGCAAGTACTGGGCATGTACTGAGCTCTCTATTACACACTGTTGGTAAGTACTGGGCATGTACTGGCTCTCTGTACACACTGTTAGCAAAATTACTGGGCATGTACTGTAGCTCTCTGTTCACTGTTGGCAAGTACTGGGCATGTACTGGCTCTCTATTTTACACACTGTTGTAAGTACTGGGCATGCACTGGCTCTCTGTTACACACACTGTTGGCAAGTACTGGGCATGTACTGGCTCTCTGTTACACACTGTTGGCAAGTACTGGGCATGTACTGGCTCTCTGTTACACACTGTTGGTAAGTACTGGGCATGTACTGGCTCTCTGTTATACACTGTTGGTAAGTACTGGGCATGTACTGGCTCTCTGTTACACACTGTTGGCAAGTACTGGGCATGTACTGGCTCTCTGTTACACACTGTTGGCAAGTACTGGGAATGTACTGGCTCTCTGTTACACACTGTTGGTAAGTACTGGGCATGTACTGGCTCTCTGTTACACACTGTTGGCAAGTACTGGGCATGTACTGGCTCTCTGTTACACACTGTTGGCAAGTACTGGGCATGTACTGGCTCTCTGTTATACACTGTTGGTAAGTACTGGGCATGTACTGGCTCTCTGTTACACACTGTTGGCAAGTACTGGGCATGTACTGGCTCCCTGTTACACACTGTTGGCAAGCACTGGGCATGTACCGGCTCTCTGTTACACACTGTTGGTAAGTACTGGGCATGTACTGGCTCTCTGTTACACACTGTTGGCAAGTACTGGGCATGTACTGGCTCTCTGTTATACACTGTTGGCAAGTACTGGGCATGTACTGGCTCTACTGGCTCTCTGTTATACACTGTTGGCAAGTACTGGGCATGTACTGGCTCTCTGTTACACACTGTTGGCAAGTACTGGGCATGTACTGGCTCTCTGTTACACACTGTTGGCAAGTACTGGGCATGTACTGGCTCTCTGTTACACACTGTTGGCAAGATCTCGGGGCCTAGTCACATTCAGTCTCTGTTAATGCTGATTTTCCTCCTGTTGTGACGTGCTATACGCCTCCTTACCGTTGGTACGTCTGTCTGTCTGTCTATCTATCTATCTATCTGTCTATATATCTATCTGTCTGTCTGTCTGTCTGTCTATCTGTCAAATACCCCCATAGCTTGAGGGAACCTGTTGCCCTTTAGATATACTGACAGCATGGGACCAGCCACCATAGGAACCCTTATTAGTTCAACATTGGCCATTAAATACTAATTATTTCATCATTATATCATAATTAATCATTTTAATTAATTATATTCCCCACTAAATATATATATAATTACCGGTGTATAATTAGGGATTTTATGGGTAAAATACTTTGGGTTATGGCAGCCATAAAAAACGAGCCTAAACTTAATATTTTAACTAATTAATACAGTTATTAATTAAGTTAATATATATTATAAGTTCCTATATTAATTACGGATAATTTGTTTAGATAATTGACCTTTGGAATGAGTTTTATCGCTTTATATAACCACAGGTGACAAGACTCATACGTCTGGCAGTGGTGTTAACTACAAGGTCATTCCCTAGTTAAGTTTATCATCTGTGGTGAATTTTAACCAACAATTCCTCGATAATCTAACTTATTTAACATATTTATGGACATTTTACAAGAATTTTAAGTGAATTTGATGTGATAAAAACACTAAGATACGTGTAAATATACCAGGATTCTTCACTAGGTTGTTTTACCATAACATCAAAGCTAAGTAACTTTGTAATGTTAAATAAGGTTATAAAAGGTTAAAATACGCTTATTTGAACATTAAACAAGACTTACACACCACCACAAGTTAATATGGATGACCAAGCACCTCTACTATCACCGGCAACAGGTAGGCAACAAAGACTAATGTTAACTTCAATTACCACGAACAACTAGAATATTTATTAACTTTTATTAACAAAAAATCAACAATTATATAACTTTAATTATATTTATAGATGTGAAAATATCATAATTAATTTTATCTCAATTATAAGCAATAATTAGGAGATTAAGTTGGGTTAATTTGTGGTATAAATATATTGATTACGTGGCAGTGTTCGTGGTGGTAATATCAACATAAGGAGTCGTCCTCAAAGGGTTAAACCATCATCCTCAAAGGGTTAAACCATCGTCCTCAAAGGGTTAAACCATCGTCCTCACCTCACCTAACCTAACACTAACCTAACACTAACCTAACCTAACCTACCAACAGGGAGTACCGCCATGGGTGCAGATAGAGCTAAGCAGCATGAACCACCACCACCAGCTCTCTTCCTATTGGCTGGCTTCAGTGCCCTGGGCGGCTTCCTGTTTGGCTATGATACAGGAGTCATCTCTGGAGCAATGATTCTGATAAGGTGTGTGTGTGTGTGTGTGTGTGTGTGTGCGTGTGTGGTGTGTGTGTGTGTGTGTGGTGTGTGTGTGTGTGTGTGGTGTGTCAGCAGTGGCGTAGCTAGAGTGTGTGCCGCCCGGGGCGGCCCTTGAGTTTGCCGCCCCCCCCCCGCCCGTGCCCCCACAAACAATACATCAATTGTTGCTCCACGAGCAATCCTAATTTCCAACTCCTTCCATTGTGTGAAATTCCGAACGTGAGCTGCACTGGATTCGTGCTCGGATATTCTAGGATTCAGTTTCCACCATATGTTGAATCCATCCTCAGAATTAAACAGTTTGCAACAAAAGCAGTAAAGAGCTTCCTTGGAAGGGGAGTACACCATCCATGATCTCAACATTCTTTCACCATTTGGCAGAGTTTGAAAAAACCACTCGCGTGTTAGTTTTCTAGTTTGTCCTTTGGTTGACACACCTTCACGAATTACTTCACCAAAATCAGAATCTAGATTTTGAACCACAGTCGCACCTTGACGTACCAGAAAGATCCGTGTGTCATTGCTAATCTTGCTTGGCCATAGGCCAACATCTTTTATGTCCACTCTGTCCACAGCTGGTCCCGGAATATTTTCTTCTTCATGTTCTTCATCACTTGAAGGAGTTGAAGTTGACGAATCGCTTGAAGTTGAACTTGAATCCCTTGAATTTGATAATGATTTGGTTTCTATACGACTGATGTATTTAAAGAGTGCCCCTTTATTCTTGTTTAATACTTCCTCTCTTACCTTTCTCTTTTTTCTGTACACAGCACCACTTTCTTTAGCTCGCTTCATCTGGGGACAGAGTGATAGAAGTATAAAACATTAATTTTTCGAGAAATAAATTCACACTGCATGTTTAAGATTAAAAGAAAAAAAAATTGAAAAAAATGAAGAGAACTTTAGATAAAAGTGATGAAGCTAAATATCACAAGTCACAAATTCTACACTTTTGACAAATAACACATTAAGAAAAAAGCTCTGTGTAGCAAAAGAATGCTTTTGTGAATTTACAAAAAAATTCAAAATGTATTACGTACATTATTTATTATTACGGCATTGAATAATATAAAAAAACGCTATTCCAAAAGGAATATGCATAGGAAAACATTTTTTCTTAAATAGCATTTCCTCAGCAAATGCATAATTTTATATATATATATATATATATATATATATATATATATATATATATATATATATATATATATATATATATTATTTTAGGTTAGGTTAGGAATCCGTTACATAAAACAATTGTACTGCACCGTATCTTTTATTGAGTATGATCTAAAATCACGGTATAA